TGTGTGTGTTGTGTGGTTGTGTGTGTGTGTGTGTTGTGTGGTTGTGTGTGTGTGTGTGTGTGTGTGTCTGTGTCTGTGTGTCTGTGTCTGTCTGTCTGCGTGTACGGCACCAAGGCCCCCCTGACACCAGTGTCCATGCTGAGCTTGGTTTGTGCTGCCAGCAACCTCAGCTGGCTCCACGAGACTATTTCAACTCCTGCCATGGAACAAGATAATACTCGAAACAGTAAACCCGAAAATTCGGCACAAAAGGTGACACATGTTGATGGATCTAGCTCTTGCCAGCATCCCTCAGCCCAGCCTTCGCAGCTCCTCGTCGTTCAAGGCGGCTGCCTGAGGACGATGTTTCTCCCGTTTCAGCAATGCACCAGTGGATCCTGTCAGCATATCGTGCTCACTAGCTCTGAAGCCTCAGACCACCACATGATGTTGGAAAGGGAGAGGAACAACACAAAAGGGATTTAACTAAGCAAGACGTCAGGCTTGAACACGACGCGCCAACCAAGAAAGAGGGGGAGTAGCTACCTTCCTGCCTCGCTGCCACGACACTGCCCGATCACACCTAGCCGCACCTTGCACGATGGGTCAAGACTGGCTGAGGGGTCGACGTGCCCATTCTCTGCCCCCTCCACAGGCTCCTTCCGTAGTCGGTGAAGAGGAAGGGCTTCGCAAATCTCGAGGTTCGGCATCCCATATCCCCATGCCCCAAACTCACGTTCCGCCCGAAAGCCTGAAGCCTCTTCATCCCCCTCATGACTCCTGCTCGCAGGTCTGGAAGAAGCTCAGGAAGGCGTCCTTCCAACTTCCAGGGCTCTGGAGGAGCCACATGCTCGGGTTGGGTTTAGGGTTAAGGGAGTAGCTTCGGGAGTTCCAATCATGGCAGGACCCCGAAGCCCAAAGTTGCACAGCGCGGCCTCACTGAGGGTGTCGCCATCTCCCTCGATGGCCTCAGCTAGCTGATCGGCTGTCATGTCCTTGGCCTTCTGGTGGTACCTGGCGCCGGGATAGGGTTGCAGCTCCTTCGCTACCAGTGCAAGGCTCGTGGAGGGCAGAAAGCAGGTGTGGATGATATGGGTGTTGGTGTAGGGCAGGTTCCAGCTAAGTCCGAACTGAGCAAAGAGGTCCTTGCGCAACCGTCACGGACGTGCTACGGTGAGATGATCATCATTATCGCTACGATCCTTCTATTCCTACCTTAACACCAAGACCCTTCTAGGATCCCTGACAAATCGTCATGTAAACTCCTGCCCTTGCGGATACGAAGAGTTTAGCCCCTGAACCCCCCCGAAGGCCCCTGCCAGCCTCAGCATGTCCTTCGCCTTGGTCTCCACGGACTTCAGCTCTGACCTCTCCCTGCCCTTCGCCGTCTCGCGAAACCTGTGGAAAGGTCCACGGAAGTCCAGGACTCCAGATAAAGCAATGTAGACCAGCAATGTAGACCCCGGATGCGTAAGGTCTCTGGTCCACATCCATTCCTGGTTTTCCCATGCTTGTTCTGCAAGACCTCTTCAACCTCGACATCATCATCAACGACAGCCTTTCATATTTGCATTGCCTAATGTTCTTGCGCCGAGGGTCGTGCTGTTGCAGCCGTTTTGTGGTGCTTGTTTCCGATACAAAGTAGCTTACTCGAGGTCTGCTTCAGTTTTTTCCAAAACCAAACACTATTTTGAGCGTAAAGTTTGGGGGCTTGGGCATGCAAGGATTTGGAGTAGCACTAGTACTAAAAGTCCTAGCAACCTTCCGCTCGGACTTTGGCCCTTCCGCGCACTGCATGCTGGAAGCGGATGAGATAGAGAAGGTTTATAGTTGAAATTCACTTCAGGCTTGCTGGAGTCTAACATGGCCAACCTCAAGCTCCAGGCCCGAAACCGCCGGGAACGCCATGCCCCCGACAGACCCCGGAGCCCAAGAGTGCACCAGGCCTGAGGCAGCTGGAGCCAAGGAGTCCCAGTCGAGGTTCAAGCTTGGCAAACTTCAGCTCAAGCAGCTTCACCTAGAAGCTTGGAGAGATGGGCGGACTCGAAAAGGCTCGGCATTCCGGACTAAAGTAAGTAATCCGGAATTGCAGTAGGCGTTCAAGCAATGTGGATAGTATGGCTTCCTGTGACAAAGCCAGGCAGATTGAAGAATCCGACAAGAGTCGAACCTCAGCGCGCGACCCTTCCCAGAATGCCAGCGAGCGACAACCCTATCAGGTGTCACCCCTGCCTGGTTGTTGAGCCAGAGGAGAATCTCGTCCGCCGCGCCCTGATGATGCATCGAGATTTCGGCTTTAGCAATCAGGGGTCGGTTAGGTTCTGTGTCTCTAGGCTCTAGGAGGAGGACTACGGGAGTTTCTGAGTGGCCTCGTGCTATCACGATTTCAGGATCTCTAGAGTCGTGTCGGGCTGAGTAATTCTGCAGTATGCAGTGAAGCCTCGAAGCCCATGATGGCTCATCCAAATTTGCTAAGAGGCACAATAACACCATACCAAGGAACAAAAACGCAGATCAACTTGCCAACTTTATCATCGCAAGTAGAACCAGTGCAAGCCACGTCAAGGCTGTAAGCCGAACCAGACAACTGTTTCGCCACAAAACTGTAGCAGTTGTCATTCTGCATCATACAGTGTCCATGTACCTGGTCAACTGTTCAACAAGTCCAGTGTTTTATCATAGCTGCTATTTTACAGCTGCGGTGTATACCCTACATAGGCACTCAAGCCTTCAACCAGTCAAGTCTTGTCATAGTAGGGTGGCTTCAAGATCGGCAAAGACGGTTGTCGACAACAACATTGAACTATCCCACCACTTCAACCGAAAAGCCTTATCTTGCGCAGCAGAAAGCAAGCACATATGTGAGGATGGCATGCGTGGATTCCTTCCCGTCGCTTTCAAAAAGCTTTCGCCTCCTTGCAGCCGGCAATGTCCGCCTTGAGCTCCTCGAAGGGCGCTTTGGTCTCCTGCAGGGTTCGAGGGTTCGTCCATAGTATTTCCCGGAATCAGGCCTCTATACAGTGGGGAAACATAGTATTTCCTGGAATCAGGCCTCTAAGCAGTGGGGAAAAGTAGAAGCGAAGGCAATGGCTACTTCTCGTGTTCTCACAGTCAGACAATGCTAAGGCACTCCTGCTGCCGGTGCTGCTGCTGCTTTTACTACCTTTGTGCTCACCAAGCTTGTTCGACTGCTGCTGCTGCAGTTGCGATGGTTATCTATGCATGTTTCGAATGTCTCTACTCGTCGTATATATAGTGGCCTTGATCTGCTGCTCGAGGTCATCCACTAAGGTGAACATCTCCGCAGATTTCATCTCCTTGCCCTGCGAGACGATGGTCGAAAACGTATTTAGGACACCAGGGCAAAGACCAGACTTGAACAGCTACCGCTGTAAAAATTTAGCTACTCTGAGAGTTGCAGTAACCATGCCTTCTTCGAACCTTCCACATGCACACATCATCAGGATCATTATAATCCCAACTCTCCTCATGCTGGCTTTAGAATATAGTCCCCTTGCGGTCCCAGAATTGGATTCCCGTAGAACAGCCCCTCAAGGAAGCCCGCCCCTCGCTGGACATCATGGCTTCCTTCAGGACCCCTTGGAAGTATGACTTCCAGTGGTACGACTACCAGTGGTATGACTACCAGTTGTATGACTACGATGCCAACGGCATTGAATATATTCATTCTGGTTGTCGGCGTGGTTAACATCTTGTCTACTGCCTTCTCAAATGCCCAAGGAAGACAACCCCTGACTTTTGTCTAAACTGGTCTCCAGAGGACCCATGCCATGTCATGATCATCGGAGTACTATCATTGAGGTACAAGCCTGGAGGTGCATGGGCTTGGCTGCCTCTTCGACCTCGCAAGGTGCAGGAGAATTTTTATCTGTTTAGAATTCCTTTTCTAGTCTTCTTTTGGGTTTAGAGTTCTGTGCTCCAGGCAGGCTGGCTGGGTCTTTTCAGCACCCTTTTCTCGGGTTGAGAGCCGAGAGTTTGCGGGGTCACGTGTGATAAACATAAGGTTTGGCGGCCTGATCCTAATTAGCATTCATTTCGGTGCAGGGAACCCGAAGAAAGCTGCTTTTCAAAATCTTGAGCCCCGCCTTCTTGATGGCCTCGTCTGACGCAGCTATTCTCTGCTCCGCTTCCGCCAACTGCGAGGGTGTCGGGCTCTGCTGTCAACGGTTAACGAACGCTGTAGCAGTGGTAGTTGTAGTCGTCGTCGTCGTAGTAGTAGTAGCCGTAG